GGATTCAAGGGGAAAGGCCAATTCTGGGACAACCCTGGGTCTTATGCCCATATGCTTAGAGGTTAGGAAAGATGCTTGGGCCCAGCTTTCCACCACAATTCCCTCTAAGTAAGAAGGGGAATGGACTCTTAGCAGACAAAGACTATGGCCAGTGTTCCCTACATCCAGCCAATTTCAGGGGTTCAGGACATAACCAACCAAACCAAAAAGATACATGGTTGTAGCAGATCAAACACCTTGAATTCTATTTCTAAATTCCCTTTTTAATTTAGGGAGGCACGGAATCCATTTGTAAGCCTGTATGGATTCCAACTGAAAAACTGATCCTAAGGTTCTGATTCATTGCTGTATGAATTGTATTAATGCTATTTGCAGAGGTCTGTGTGAAGTCCCAAATTATACCTTTCGAGATGAGAAGTATAATTTGTACCAAGAATCAACTGATTTAAACCCCAAACACACCTGTGTTCAAGCTGAAAATCTGCTATCTGGGCTTCTCTGAACCTTGTACCATGAGTCTTTCTAGATGACTAAGTCTTCTAATACTTGCAAGTTTAATCATTTAAACAGAAGACTTTGGAATTTTAATGCTGTGTGAGACAAAAATGTTCCTGAACAAATATATTCCAGTTTCCTAAACAAGGCGAAATGAACATAGTTTTATCTTTTCTTAGAGACTCCAGGTTACTCATAAAAATATCATAAATGGCCCAATCTAGAATAGATTTAAGACTCCAAGGATTATTCAACCCTACACTAAATGGGCCCAGATGGTTGGTTTTAAGTTCTTGGCACTGTTATAGGTTTTCTGTCTCCCTTCTTGTTGGCATCTGTCATTTCCTGCTGTTATCAGTTACTACGTGCGGTAGCAGCTTCTTCCACATTTAATTATTTGTTGCTTTTTATAGCTGAGAGTTTAGACAATGGATGAGAATTATGTATAAAATTAGTGTAAATGGATTCTGAATGGGGCCCTGAGAGATTTCACAAGTAAACAATCTAAAGTTGCTCAAATGCTGTTTTTGAAAATAGGTAGGGTATAAACAAAACCATGGAACATTGTGTAACATCAGTGCTGGCTTCTCAGTTGTTTTGTTGGTTTATTTCGTTTTCCTTACTTCGTGATTCTTGGCCCTGTCCCGTACTGGTAAGGATGATGAATGGTAGGTTTCCCATGACAGAGACTAGGCTTCTGGTGTGCTTCCTTCTCTCTATATCATCATGGGCATCTGCCTGGTTGAACATTTGGCCAGAATGACTAAAAGCATGAGCTCTTGTCCTGGGCCTTATTGGAAGAAGTTTGTTCCATAGGTTCGGATTTGAGTGGGCCGAATCCCGTGAGGGGAAGTCAGGCTGTCAGCCACCATGTTCCCATCCTGCAGAATTTGCTCCCAAGCACGGCTTTGTCTCTGGAGCCTCTTCCTGCAGCACACCATCCGGCCCCAGAATTTCTCTGTACCAGGAAAACCCCCCACCCAACATTTTAGTATAATCCTGGGGAGCGTTTTCAATGCATGAGTGAGCTTCCAACCATTTAATTCCTTAAACAGCAGAAACTTCAACTGTTCCCAGGAGTCTGTGCATTGGCTCAGAAAAAGCCCTGCTGCTTCCCTTCCCTAAAAATCCACTGGCAAAGGATGGCTGTGGCATCCATCATCTGTTAGCACAATGGCTGTAGGGGGGTCCCCTAGAGAGGCAGGAGTTCCGGTCCTGGAGCCTGCATCTCATGGTCCCACCCCTCTGCTCCCCAGACAGGCTGGCCTGTGAGCTTCTTTCCAGCCTTTTCCCTCTGGGCAGCTCCTGGCTTACTTGACCTATTTTCTATAAGCTCAAGACAGAGAGCATAGGAAAGTGCTGAATCACTCTAAGGTCTGCAATGTGTCCAGTTATAAAGCCCAATGTCAAAGTGAAATACCAACCTTTTAGTGGCCCCATATCTCACAGATTTAGTGGTCAATTCTAATTAAAGATCAGCATCTGTTTCTTTATTTTCTTTCCCTGGAGTAAAAGGAAAAAAGTTCTTTTCTTTTAGGAGATTCTAGATTGTTTATTTCTAAACATCATTAGAGGCTATATGTTTTCTCAACGATGGGAAAAGTAAAGATTTCATCTATTCACCCAATCAGGATAGAATTGTTTCTCTTTTTATTAGGAAGTTTTCTTCCCTCCCCATCTCCAGCTCAGTGTCCTGGGTTTCTAGGTACATAGTAGCTACTCAAGAAATATTCATTGATTGAGGGGCACCTGGCTGGCTCAGTCTGTAGAGCATGCGACTCTTGATCTCGGGGTTGTGCGTTTGAGCCCCAAATCAGGTATAGAGATTACTTAAAAATAAAATCTTTCATTGGCTGAAAGAATGAATAGAAGGATAGTTGGACAGAAAAATGCTGTGCACTGTTGTCTTCCAGGGCACCCTCCCAACTAGGTAGAGAAGCCTCACAATGCTTCTTGGCAGCCCTTCTTCAGGGACCATTGAACCAAAACAAAACGGAATCTCTTATGTCAGAGACAAAATGGAAATGGTCAACATAGGTGCATAAAGGAAACCTAACCTAACCTTACAGGAATTTATGGTTCTTAGAAATCAGCAGGGGAAGGGTGCCTGGGTGGCTCAGTCGGTTAAGCGGCCAGCTCTCGATTTTGACTCAGGTCATGATCTCAGGGTCCCAGGATCGAGCCCCACATCAGACTCCACACTCAGATTGGATTCTGCCTGAGGATTCTCTCTCCCTCTCCTTCTGTTTCTCCCCCACACTCGCACATTCTCTCTCTTTCTCTAAAATAAAAAAATAAATAAATCATTTAAAAAAAAACAGCAGAAGGCACCAGCCAATCCCTAAATACTAAGTCTGTTCATGACATGTCAGGACTTACTTGTTCCCCTGACTCAGCTGCCCTGATCCAAAGAAGAAAGAAGACCACTAGGCAACCAATCAGCTGAAAAAGCCAAATAACTTCTGCATTTACCCCATAAAATATCTCTTAGTCTGTAAGGAACCTTGAACTCGCTTCTCCCTTAGCCATGAGTTTCCCAGTCTGCATTTTAAAAGTCTTGCAATAAACTCCTCTTTCTGTTTTGTTTTATTCCTTATATGCAGAGTTTGGTTTCTGACAGGACCCACCAACTGAAGGTGGGTTCTGTCAAAGGCCTATTTGGGGTTCATACAATAGAATTAAATAATGAAGACACTTTTATTTACGTCTTTGTTTTGCAGAAGGGCTGGATGAAAACCTAGCTCTCTCAGTCCTGGGTAGAATTTCTCAGTGAATGGTTGGGGAGTTTTGTTTCCCACACAGCTCAGCTCTGTGCATAACCAGGGTCTGAACAGGAGTTCAAGTGGCTCCTCGGGGGCCCTGAAGCAATTAAAGGTGGGCCTTGTTCTTCTTTGTCATGAGGCTGTTGGATTTTGTGGTCTTTTTAGAAGCCTTGGCAACTGCTGGCCCCATTTTCCAGAGGGCATCCTCCCTCAGATGTTCCTGGAGGCCACTGCCCCCTGAGAATGCTGCAGATGAGGCCCGGGGCCCACAGAGTCGGAGGCGGGGGGCTCAGTTTCATGGAACCAGGCCAAGCCTTCCTAGTGCAGCTCGGTGCCTCTAACTTCCTTACTCCCATCCCCTCGGATCAGTTTCTCCCTTTCCTGGAGCTGAGCCAGGCTTCTGGAAGCTGTCTCCCCCTCTCAACAGGGCCCTCTAATTAACATTTCTTCTCTCTTCTTTTTCTCTGCTCCAATTCCATCTGCAGCTGCCTAATGACAGCATTAACAACTGCAGATCTGATCCCACTCCTCATACAGCCTAGCCAAGGGAGGACTTTGAGCCAAGAGAAGACAGGCTTGTGGTCATGAGAAACGGAAGGAGCCTCCCTAGGATGAAAAGAGGCCACACAGTGATCAGCACGGGAAAAGTGCTCTTAAACGGTTGCTCTTCGGAGACTAGTTGTGTCATCTTAAAGTGACTCCCCACATATCACTTACTAGTGTCAAGGGAGGGGAAAAAAAAACCAGCAAGCAGACACTGGAGAAATTATACAACACCTTGACTGGGTGGTCCAAATTATCACTGCGTGGGACAGATGACATCATGTGGCTCCAGATGTGGAGGATAGGACACACCTCATCTGGGCAGCATTCTGGCTGTGATTATATAACCAATGTAACCATAAGGAAACACCAAACACAGAATGAGGAACGTGCTATAAAACAAAATGGCCCGCGGTACTCACTTTGGCAGCAGATAGACGAACGTTGGAACGATACTGGGATGATTAGCATTGCCCCTGCACAAAGATGATACACAAATTTGTGAAGAAAAAAGTGGTGTGGGAGCAACAGGAGATGGACCTCATAAAAGCCAGATTAAAGGAGGCTAAAAAGACATGACAGCCAAATGTGGGACCTGACCCTAGAGCGAAGCCCATACCAGAGGCGAGGTCCTATAAAGGACACTGACAGGTCAACCAACAACACTGATTTGTGGAGCATAGACCAGATAAAAGCACTTTGTCAGGCTGTATGGTTATGTAATAGGATGCTCCTAGTCCTAGAAGACACATACTAAAGTATTTAGGAGTGACGGGCCATGAAGTATGGAACTTGCTTCTACATTGTTCTGAAAAAAATTACATTTTACATATAAACATATACATATGTACAGCTAGAGAGATAAATACAGATGTATATTCTATATATATGACATTTTTCTCTGAACTGTTTTATATAATGTACATATACAGGGAGTGGGGGAGAAACGTGCAAACGATAAAGCGAGTGGAGGAAAATGAAGGCAATGTAGGGGCTCCTGTACTATTTTTATCTTTGCAGCTTTTTTGTAAGCTTGAAATTGTTCCCAAATAAAAAGTTGAAAAATGTAGCTGCAGTTTTTCGATTCTCCTCTGTTCACTGAACACTGAACTTGGGCGGAGGACATAAGGCCGCATCTCTGTGAAGCCTCTCGGGCGCATCAGCCCTCGTGAGCCGGGGCCCAATTTGAGCTTACCTATAACTCTGAAGGCAGTGCTCTACGATGGCAAGCACTCTGGCCCTGCACGGGGGAAAGGCATCAGGATGCACTAAGGAAGACACAACCCCATCCCAAGTCCGGTCTGGAAAACAAACAAATCTGCTGTCATTTCTGACTGATCAACAAACGCATATTGATTTTAAATTCCATCGTTTGAGCAAAAAAGTAGAGATGCGGCATAGAAATTTGAGTGTGGGGGCGCCTGGGTGGCTCAGTTGGTTAGGCGACTGCCTTCGGCTCAGGTCGTGATCCTGGAGTCCTGGTATCGAGTCCCGCATCGGGCTCCCTGCTCAGCGGGGGGTCTGCTTCTCCTTCTGACCCTCCCCCCTCTCATGCTCTATCTCATTCTCGCTCTCTCAAATAAATAAATAAATAAATAAATAAATAAATAAATAAATAAATAAATCTTTAAAAAAAAAAGAAAAGTAACTGCCTCCCGGGTGACTGGGTGGCTCAGTCGGTTGAGCGACTGCCTTCGGCTCGGGTCATGATCCTGGAGTCCCGGGATCGAGTCCCGCATCGGGCTCCCTGCTCGGCGGGGGGTCTGCTTCTCCTTCTGACCCTCCCCCCTCTCATGCTCTATCTCATTCTCGCTCTCTCAAATAAATAAATAAATAAATAAATAAATAAATAAATAAATCTTTAAAAAAAAAAGAAAAGTAACTGCCTCCCGGGTGACTGGGTGGCTCAGTCGGTTGAGCGACTGCCTTCGGCTCAGGTCATGATCCTGGAGTCCCTGGATCGAGTCCCGCATCGGGCTCCCTGCTCGGCGGGGAGCCTGCTTCTCCCTCTGACCCTCCCCCCTCTCATGCTCTCTCTCTATCATTCTCTCTGTCAAATAAATAAATAAAATATTTTTAAAAAAGAAAGAAATTTGAGTGTGCTGGGGGTCGGGTGGACCTGGGTCTAAATCCTGGCTCTGCCGCTACCAGCCATGACCCCCAGGGCAAGGGACTCTGCCCCCGAGTCTCAGTTTCCTTCTCTGTGGAGGAACAGTCGGCCGAGTTTGGTCAGGGAGAGTCAGCGAGGCCGCACGTGTCGGGGGCTGAGGGCGGCACGAAGAGCAGGCGTGGCAAGCGCTCTGCGCCCGTGAGGAATCCTGACCCTGAAGGTGGTGTCTCCTCCCCGACCCCCGACTCGGGGCTGCCGCCGCACGCAGTCTCACAGCTACAAAGGCTCTGCTGAGCCAGACGGCAGGGGCGTCCAGGGGACGCCGTTTCGGAGACACGGCTTCTGCGGGGGGGGAAGGGTTCCTTGGTGGGAGAAAGCCACCCAAACAAGACCTTGGTTGCTCTAAGGAGCTTCCGCAGACTGAAGCCGTGGCCTGCTTAGGCCTTCCTCCGCTGTTGAATAAGGACAGGACACACACACACACACACACACACGCACACACACGCTTCATTGGATCAAAGGGCTGTGCGTATTGGACAATTTTACCACAGAGGCCGAGTCTCTGCTGTAGGATTATCAATCCCCCCACTGAGGTCAAACACTTTGGCCTCCAAAAAATACTGTAAACAATTAAAAATGCCTTTAAACAGTGAACTCACCTCTAAGAAATCCTGAAGGCATGAGGACACCAGAGTCTGGGGCAGGGTGGGGGAGGAGAAGGAGGGTGACTCCCCTCTTTCTGCAGGTGGTCATCATGCAGCCTGTGTCTGTTGCCCACTTCTTTGTGGAGTTGCCTGATGTCCTCTCTGTTATAATTCCAGAGACACTTACTTGAGCCAATGTGGATTCTGATTTGGGCCCTAAATGCCTGTTGCCTGAACACCGTTTGCCTGTTGGGAGCTAGTTCTCTACGTCTCTAAAATTCTTTTCCCCTCGCCCTCTGTCCACATTCTACTCTCAGCATGTGGGAGGGTGACCTGCTGTCAACACAGTGCACCAAGGACAGGATGATTTTTCAGATAGTTCTTTAACTTGGTAAAAAGTCTCCTCGCACCGGACCTCCCCTCATTCATGCCCCAGACGTTTACTGCCGTCCCCCTGTGTGCCAGGCACTGGGGTAGACATGCAGGTGTGGAGAAAAATGAGCCATCATCCCTGCCCGTCAAGAGCTCAGCATCGAGCCAGCCAGATGGACACAGCAGCCAACACACGGGCAGAGCTGCAGCTCAAACCCCAGTGTTTCTCAATCCACCTTTGTGCTGCCAGAATCCCTGAGCAGCTTATTGAAAATGCAGCTTCCAGGCCCCAGCACACCAGACCTACCAAATCAGAGGGTCTGGGGTAAGGCCTTGAAATCAGCATTTTAGTAACGAAGCCTTACATACTCCAACATTGAAAACTCACAGACCTGCCTTCTACCCTACTACAAATTCAGACACATCTCGTGTTTCTGAGGGGCCAGCAGGACAGGCCCATCAAGGATCTATTTCTATGGGGTTCCTGGGAGCCCACGAGACTCAGCACAGCCCATGACAGTTCTTCAGGAAATGGGAGGCCTGGAGCTTTGGGAACACAAGAGAAGGTGAAGGGGATTCACCCCACCCCGGCCTTGTGACTGCTGACAGATGGTGGGGTGCAGCGTGAGAGGAAGTGCCAGAGGCCATGGGGCACCGGGCACGGAGGACCAGGAGCAGAGAGTCAAGCCGACCACCAGAGGATGATGGCAACCACCACCCCCTGCCCCGCCCCGCCCCATGTCAGGAGAGGCCAGCGCTGTCTACCACGGCTGGGCTGCAGGCTGGGGAGCCCCTGATGCCTCGGGAAGAATGTTTTGGGGGTGGGGAGGTGAGTGAGCTGTCTACACCAGAGCTGCCAATGTCTCCCGGCATCTACTCGGAGAGAAACCTCTGGGCATTTCCGAAGTGTCCGGCCCCAGAGCCACTGCAGCTTCCTGCACAGTTTAAATGGCGCCTCCCCCCCCCCCCCCCACCCTGCCCCAGGCCTCTGTTGTGGGCCCCCAGGCTGTGTGCTTCCCTACACGTACCCCAGAGGGGCCACTGAGGACACAAGTCCAGATTTGCAGGCGAGCACATGTTAGACGCAAGCCAGCCCGTCTACATTGGCTTCAACATTGGCCTTATCACGTACACCGGGTCACTGGCTTCTGTCCCTGAGGGATCATGCAATGACAACTAGACCACCCGCAAGACCGCAGAGGGCCAGCCAAGCAGCCAGCCTCCAGCACCTTGAAGTCCGTGCCAGGGGCACCTCACGCGCTGGAATTCACTGAATCCTGCCTCTGCCTCGGGCTCATCCTGTGACTAGGGGGAGTTACTGACCTTCTCCGAGCTTCAGTTCCCTCTTGTATTAAACTTGGATCATGTCGTGTACCTCACAGTACTGCTTACTAAGTAGCTGCCCCTTCCCACTTCTTTATAGTCCCACGCCCCAACAGGCCCATGGATTTGCCGTTTGAAAGGACACCTAGGTGTCCTTTAGGGGCGCCTGGGTGGCTCTGTCGTTAAGTGACTGCCTTCTGCTCAAGTCATGGTCCCGGGGTCCTGGGATCTGGCCCCGCATCTGGCTCCCTGCTTGGCGGGAAGCCTGCTTCTCCCCCTGCTTGTGTTCCCTCTCTCGCCGTGTCTCTCTCTGTCAAATAAATAAAATCTTAAAAAAAAAGAAAGACACGTTTATAATTGGCCATTTTTTCATATTTTCATATATTGATTTCAGTTTGAACATTTAGTTAATAGAAAAGACTTTAGATGCAGTAGGAAATTCTCCAAAGATATTTTTCAATGGGTGGTAGTTTTTAAAGTGTCTCTAGGCCTCTCGAATGGATGGCAGACAATTAGCTGCCTCTCGCCTGAGAAATCAGACTAATTGCTGGTGAGGCTTGGCTAATGGGGTCTTTTGTGAACTCCCTCCCTAAATGAGAAATCTTTAACTTTTCACAAAAACTCAATCTCATTTGTGCTGCTGATTCCTAATATTTCTAAATAAATGCTTGGCCTCTGGGCTTTTGTAGTCAAATAACCCAAATCAAACCAAGCTGCTCTGCCAAGGGAAAAAATTTATTTTGTGTAAATCTACTGGAAGAAACTTTTAGAATCAGTTTGGAACCACCATAGGCAAAGACTAGCTGCAGCCCACTCTGGGGCAAGTTTTGTGGATGTGGGCTAAAAGATGAATTTACTCTATTTGGGCTTAAATGGCTTGTTGAGATTGCTTAAACAGTAAACACTGGCATGTTTCCAAGATCAGAGTATGCAAGAAGCAGGCTTGTCCCCGGACTCCAAGTTGACTGCCACACATAGACAGGGTCAGGGTTCTGTGTCTAAGGCAGAGGAGACAAAAATCCAGGGAAGCCCATTACCTGTCCTGCATCAACCTAGAAAGGAGGGGAAAGAGCCTGGGAGGGCAAGAGGAAACCGACGCAGGAGGTCACTCGAAGACAGTCAAACTTGAAACAGAGATACACGTAAATGCCAATAGGAAGAGAGGGATAAGCAATTCAGAACTTGGCAGGAGTCTGGAGAAAATTCCAAAAGTGACCCAGAGCTGAGGTGTAGCCTACATGGTTGGCTGGGGGGACCTGCTCCAACAGAATCTCCAATGACCTTGGAGGGGAAATCTGGAATGTTCTACATATGAGTCTTTACTTCCTAGTTCTTCCTCATCAAGGACTTTAACAACTCTTAAAATACAGGGTCAAAGTGGAACTTGGGAATGCTGGGTGTTTTTGGATTCTTTTTATAATATTAAATTGCTTTGAATTGTCTCTTGGATGACCCTGAGATCTTCCTCCATTGTATTTTTACCAGCTCCATTGGTTCTTTCCAAAAAATTTGAGAAGAGATGGTTATCTGTCCCATAGCTGCTTGGGATATTCTGGGTCCTCAATCTATTCTGACTATGGAATGGAAAAAAAAAGTCCTTTTCTTTGGCTTAAAAAAGGAGCTATTCAATTTTTTTCTAAAAAACAACAACAACAAAAAAGATTGGATAGAAAATTTCAAGATGATAAAACAAAAAGGGACAAAAATAGTTTCAAGAGATAGTTTTTTATTGTAATGGGAGTACCTGGCAAATGTTAGGACCCAGTAAACCCATGTTTCATTCCCTCTCTCCTATACCTCCACTTGGCCTAGAATATCCTGACCCAAATCCTCTTTAAAATCCTTCAGCATCTCCATTTTTAGCACATGTATTTCCCCTCCAGGAAATAAGCTTAGGCAGAGACCTCCGTCTCTAAGAAGAGAAGAGAAAAATAAACCTAAAGGAAGCAGAAGGAAGGAAATAATAAAGATCAGAGTAGGAATTAATGAAACTGAAAGCAGGAAAATTGACACAACCAAACGCTAGTTCTCTGGAAATAACAATAAAATTGATAAACATCTTGGAAGACTGAAAAGAAAAATGATAAAAGATACAAATTTCCAAGATCAGGAATGAGAACATCACTATAAATTCAATATACATTAATAGGATAAGTGAGCACTATGAACATCTCAATGCTCATAAATTCAAAAATTAGATAAATGAAGTAATTCTGTAAAAACCTCAAACTTCCAAAACTTACCCTAAATGAAATAAGTAATCTATGTAGTCTTAAAACTGTTAAACAGATTAAATCCATGGTCAAAATCTTTCTGAAAAAGGAATTTCCAGCCCCAGATTGTATCACTGCTTAATTCCATCTAACATTTAAAGAAGAAATAACACAAATGCTGCACAATGTCTTCCACAAACCAGAAGGGGAAGAAATATTTCCCAACTTATTTTATGAGACCAGCACTATCCTGATACCAAAACTCAACAAAGACAGTACAAGAAAATTATAGACAGATATCTCTCATAAACATAGATACAAAAATCTTCAATGAAATATTAGCTTATTTATTATATATATTATATATACACACACACACACACACACACAAACTAGTACACCATCACCAAATGGGGTTTATGCTCAGAATGCAAGGCTGGTTTCAATAATCAAAAATCGATCAATGTAATCCATCCTATCAACAATCTGAAGATAGTATCAATTGATGGAGAAAAAGAATTAGACAAAATTCAACATCTATTCACAGTCAAAACTTTCAGCAAACTAGAAAGAGAAAGGAACTTCTATTAAAGGACATCTACAAAAAGCCTATGGCTAGCATCATACTTAGTGGGTGAAAGACTGAATACTCTCCCCCTAAGACTGAGAACACAGGAAAGATGTTTGCTCTTACAACTGTTATTCAATACCATACTAGACATCCTAGCTAGTGCAATGAGGCAATAAAAAGTAATAAAAGGCATACAAATTAGAAAGGAAAAAACTGTCCCCATTCACAGATGACAGGATTGTCCTCATGGAAGATCCCAAGAAAGCTACAAAAAGCTCCTAGAACTAATAAGTGAGTTTGATAAGGTCTTAAGATACAAAGCCAATAAAATTAACAAGTCAGGAAACAACAGATGTTGGCGGGGATGCAGAGAAAGGGGAATCCTCCTACACTGTTGGTGGGAATGCAAGCTGGTGCAACCACTCTGGAAAACAGTATGGAGGTTCCTCAAAAAGTTGAAAATAGAGCTACCATACAATCCAGCAATTGCACTACTGGGTATTTACCCCAAAGATACAAATGTAGGGATCCGAAGGGGTACATGCACCCCGATGTTTATAGCAGCAATGTCCACAATAGCCAAACTGTGGAAAGAGCCAAGATGTCCAATGACAGATGAATGGATAAAGAAGATGTGGTATATATATACAATGGAATATTATACAGCCATCAAAAGGAATGAG